AAAGCTCTAAAAATCTCAATACAATTTGTCCCCCCAACTATTTCTCTGACTTCACCTCTTCCTAGTCTCTTTCTCACATACCTCTGATCTAGCAACAAAAATTCGGGGGAAAAAACATAATAGTAGAAAGGTGGCAATGGTTTACTTTGTAATAATATCATTTCAATAATGAGTATCACCTGTATGAAGTAAGACACTTATTTGAATACCTGGTTCAGCAGTACTTACCATAAAATGTCAAAAATTAAGATAGGGATATAGCCCTTTAAGAATATCTGTAGGCCAGGCGCAGTGACTCATGCCTGTAATCCCAGCACTTTGGGAGGCCGAGGCGGGTGGATCACGAGGTCAAGAGATCGAGACCATCCTGGTCAACATGGTAAAACCTCGTCTCTACTAAAAATACAAAAAATTAGCTGGGCATGGTGGCGCGTGCCTGTAATCCCAGCTACTCAGAAGGTTGAGAAAGGAGAATTGCCTGAACCCAGGAGGCAGAGGTTGCGGTGAGCCGAGACCGTGCCATTGCACTCCAGCCTGGGTAACAAGAGCGAAACTCCGTCTCAAAAAAAAAAAAAAAAAAAAAAGTAATGAGGCCAGGAGCATTGGCTCATGCCTGTAATGCCAGCACTTTGAGATGCCCAGGCAGGATGATCACCCGAGGTCAGGAGTTTGAGACCAGCCTGGCCAACATGGCAAAACCCTGTCCTACTAAAAATACAAAAATTAGCTGAGCGGGTGCCTATAATCCCAGCTGCTTGGGAGGCTGGGGCAGGAGAATCACTTGAACCTTGGAGGCAGAGGTTACAGTTAGCCAAGATCATACCACTGCACTCCAGCCTGGGTGACAGAGTAAGACCTCCATCTTAGAATGTGTGTGTGTGTGTGTGAGTGTGAGTGTGTGTGAGTGCATATGTGTGTGTAATGAATCTTCTCAGATATAATGAACCTTCCCAGAAAACTATACAAGACAAAAATTTTGCACACCATTTCAAGGATATCATGGTGTGATAAAAACCTATTCATGAAGCTTCATGTAAACAAACATGAAATATCCAAAGGATAGAGAACAGAACAAAAAACTGACACCAATGCCTAGCTGAAACAAAAGATTGGGAATGCCAAGGTGTGAAAGTTGGATTTTTGAATAGTGTTTTCAGGTTTCTTTTGTTTCCTCTTGATCAGATTCCTGGATTACCCACACTCACAACCAGAGATCTGTTTAAATTTAACCTGAACCTTAATTTCAGAGTCTTGTGAAAGTTCAGAGTTTTTCCTATTGAGTCTCAGGGCATCTTTCCTCGCATTTCTCTGTTTCCAGACACTGGAATCCAAACCTAATTGTCTCACCAGTTTCTACCAAGAAAATAAATAAATAAAAATCAACTCCCAAATCAATTTTACTAGAGAAAACTTCTAAGAATTTGGTGAGTAAAGAAAGAGTCATGTCATGAAATGTGGCATTCTGCCACCCTGCTGGCTCTACGACCACTTATCTCAAGCTTGTCCAACCTGCAGTCCATGGGTCACATGCAGCCCAAGATGGCTTTCAGTGTGGCCCAACACAAATTTGTAAACTTTCCTAAAACATTATGAGACTTTTTTTGTGAATTTTTTTTAAAGCTCATCAGCTATTAATGTATTTTATGTGTGGCCCAAGACAATTCTTCTTCCAATATGGCCCAGGGAAGCCAAAAAATTGAACACTCCAATTTATCTCTTTCTATTTCTTGCTTCCTTTCTCTGGTCCTAAGACGACAATTTTTCTTAGTGTTACAAAAATAGTTCCTTCTACAATCAGGTCTCTGTATTTTAATTTGTACTCCAAAGCATCTTCACAAATAAATACAGTTCTCTTCCTAAAAAGAATGATATTGAGCAAAATTTTCTCAAACTTACAATAAATATTAAGAAGAAATTTTTAATAATATATTTTAAATAAGAAAAATTTAAATCACTGGTAGAACTGCACCACCAGACATAAATGTCAATATTTTGGTATGTGTCCTTCTAGTCTTCCCCTCTGCAGTGAATGATAAATTCAAAAGGAATCAACACTTCTATCCCTATTTCTATGCCAAGATATCAAAATGTGGACAAAAGGTTTCAGATAGCTCTTCTCTGAAACATATTTTTTGAATGTAAAAAGCACGCACAAGAAAAAACAGAAGAGGAATTTCATCTCCAAATGTTTTACATGCCATCTCTATTACTCAAAACAAGGATCACCTGAATCTGGTGAAATCTTTCGACTTCAATGTTCACATAGAGATAGTACTGCTTTCACACTATACGTGGCAATGGTAACATACTGAAAAGCATGAGAACTTGAGTAATGGACAACTGTATATTAAATGACCACCCATGATTCCTTTTAAAAGCTAAAAAATCTAGTTCTGTCATCAACCATGGGTCTAAATAAAGTTTCACCAAGCATTCATAACAATTAAAAGAAAAAAAAAAAAACACTCCAAATGGTAGCAAAATGGCTAAAAAACTAAAAAAAAATCCTCTACTAACAGGATGATTCCCTAGATTTTCTATGGTAGAAATATTGCTTAAAAGTGTATTTCCAAAGTACTTCTGTAACTTTCTACAAACCAGTGTCAATACCGAAATGTGGATATAGGTTGATTTTTCTTTGTACCCCTTTGCTAACCTGTAATAAATCTTTATAAGCTATCAAAAAGAGATTACTCCTTTAAAGGTCCCATCTGGAGTAAAATTCTGTGACTGTAGTAGTCATTGTCAGTACGCTTTCTTATAATTTCTAAAGTAAATCTAGTAGTTACTCAAATAACATTCTCCTCTCTGAGGTGTTTTTTTGTTTGTTTTGTTTTGTTTTGTTTTGTTTTGTTTGAGACAGGGTCTTGCTTTGCTGCCCAGGCTGGAGTGCAGTGGTGTGATGATGGCTCACTGTAGCCTCCAACTCCTGGGCTCAAGCAATCCTTCTGACTCAGCCTCTTTAGTAGCTGGGACTACAAGCATACACCACCACACCCAGCTAACTTTTTTATTTTTTGTAGAGATGGGGTCTCACTATGTTGCCCAGGCTCATCTTGAAGTTTTGGGATCAAGTGATCCTCCTGCTTTGGTTTCCCAAAGTGCTGCAATCATAGGCATGAGACATCACTGCACCTAGTTGAAATATTTTTTTTAAAGGGAGTAGGAGTAAGGACCTGACCATCAAGAGGTTGCTGAAATCCTACCCATAATGCATAAAATAAAAATATTATAGAAAAATATCTAGGCCTTTATCACGTTATTGTAAGTATTTCAAGGATCTCTGATCTGAAAAGTTAGATTTTAATTCTCAATGACTTGCTCACACTAAGTTCTGTCATGACATCTGCCTACTATTTGAAAAACTGTCTGTTTTCAAATTTCATAGATTATAAAGAGAGGAAAATTTTTTGTCTTTCTTACACATGTACTTTACCTATAGTTTTACACATATGGTTCATCTGTCATAATTATTAATGCAGTAAGCACCCTGAAAATTCCTTTTGCCCTGCACAAATAAGGTAAACTTTAAATGTTAAAGTAAACCATATTACTTCTATATTTAAGGAAAGTGCATTTTGCTTTAAAAGGTAAAGGCTCTTTTCAAATCAACACATATTTAGTATATTATGAAAGAATACTATAAGAAAATTTCTTTGAAAGGATGGGACAGGCGTGGAAGCTCACGCCTATACTACATGCACTTTGGGAGGCCACAGCAGGCAGACTGCCTGAGCCTAGGAGTTTAAGACCAACCTGGACAACATGACAAAACCCTGTCTCTATTTTAAAAAAAGGTATGGGGGTGCATTTAATAACGTTTTCCTTGTAGTACTGATAGAGAAAAAGAAAAGCATTACAAATTCTACTCTATGTTTAAAAAAGGAGAAAAACTACTGTAGATAATCTAAACTCTCAAGTCTATATTCATAAATTAATTTTTTGGATAAAAAATTTGTATATAAATCTGGCTCTTTAGCAAATAAGCATATGAATATTTATTATACTCTCAGGCAGAAACAAGATGCCTAAAACTCTATAGCTAATTCAAACCTATTTCTGTAGGGAAATTTGGAGAGAATGACTAAGATTAAGAAAGCAAACTCCTGTATCTTAAAATGAACCTTTGCCAAAGAGACCCTAACAACACTCTCAAATCAGTTTAGAGGTTATCATAAAAATTTAGCTTTTAATTTTAAACAAAAAATTATAATTTCTCTTACAAAAATTACGAAAATAAATTCAAGAAGATTTAGTTACTACATTGTAACCATTTTTATTCTTGATTATTTTAGAATATGAGTTTTCAGAGCAATTATTTTTATTCCTGAAGCACTATGAATCAGCATAACACACAGTAGAACTGAGCATTCATTACTCTAGGAAAGAGTGGAATTCTATGCAGTAAAGTTTTCTAAAATCCAATAATAAACTATAACTATGCTAGATTCTTGGTATTATTTGCTTTTTAGGCTGCTAATCTGAGACCTATTATAATGTTGGCATTAACCTCTAAATATCATAGTATTTAAGTTTTCCTAGGCTGTAGAAACTTAAGAAGAATGTTTGCTACCAAGCTTCAGAACAAAATTTAAAAGGTAGAAAAAAAACAACAATAACAACTAAAACAACTAAATTATTTACAGGCTTGTGAACAGTTTTTAGCGATTAATGGACCTATCAACACTTAGCTGCCTAATTTTAGGAGCTAAACATATATCTTAGTTCTCTTTTATTCCAGTAACTCCATATTCTCTATTACAATATAAGTGCAACAAAAATCCGGAAATATACCAGTTTTCCATGAAAATACAACACATATAAACTAAACACACACACACACACGTGTGTATACAGACACACATAAAAGGCCGCATGTTACACTTTTTTTAGGCAATCTAATTTCAGTTGTGTAATGGCTCCCTTTTCCTTACCTGCCACTGCCTGGTTTAGATGATGCTGTAGTGAAGATTTTGCTTTTTGTTTCAAGTGCTACTCACCTGTTTGAACATCAATAACCATCTGATGGCCTCCTCTCATTCCTGGTCGGTTATCTTCTCCATCACCTTTAGTAGAAATAACAGTTTCTTTTAAAGGAATAACAACGAACAACAGCGTACTCAGAGAAAAGTTATTCATAAGTCTGTAATCAGTAGTAAAAATAACCCACACTTATTCTTTCAAAATATTAAGTAAAAGGACTCCTAAAAGTAACAGTATGACTCAAATCTGTGTTTATAATAATACTCTTGTTCTTTTTTCCAAATGCTTTCAGGATATTAATGAACTTGGAAGTTATTTTCAATTTATTTATGATCAATGACACAAATCAGCAAAGACACAGAATATTACACAAAAAGAAAAATCTCTAAATTACTTGAGTGCCAAAGTGAAGGTCAAAAACAATTACAAAATTAGATCTCCTGTATATATTCTAGGCATAGTTCATTAGTATAAGGAGTAATTTTAAAGATCATAAAACTAGTTCCTGAAAACAAAGATGTTATCAAGTTTTATATTAATTTTGTATAATGTATACAATTATTTTGAGTAATTTTTGTACTTTGTATAATTATTTTATATAACTTTGTATAATGTATAATGTATTAATTTTGTGCCAATATTTCAGCAACAAGTTCCCACCTAATTTACCAACGATTTTATCTAAGTACTGACTGAGGAAATCTAAGTTTTACTTCACTTTGATTCTTACTCAAAGGCAGGTTAATAGGCAGTTTTCAATATAATCAACAAAACTTTTCAAATTTTCAAAGGAGAACATTATCGTTCAACTTGTAGTTAATCTTACTTTACACCAAATCTTACACAAATGACATTATGGCTGGGTGTGGTGGCTCACGCCTGTAATCCCAGCACTGTGGGAGGCCAAGTAGGTGGATCACCTGAGGTCAGGAGTTTGAGACCAGCCTGGCCAACATGGTGAAACTGTATCTCTACTAAAAATTCAAAAAATTAGCTGGGTATGGTGGTGGGAGCCTGTAATGCCAGCTACACAGGAGGCTGAGGCAGAAGAATAGCTTGGACACGGGAGGCGGAAGTTGCAGTAAGCCGAGGTTGCGCCACTACATTTCAGCCTGGGCAACAAGAGCAAGACTCTGACCCCTGCCCCCCAAAAAAGGTTATAACTTCAGTAGTTCGACAGATTATAAGATTTGAAGGTCTTACTTGATATGAACCAGAAGGCCTAAGTTTTTCTTCATAACTCTTCTATTAAGTGAAATATATTACTCTGGCTAATAAGTTTCCCTGTATTGGCTTTCTCCAAATGTAAAATTGAAAATATCTTATTTTATACTAATTTCACAAAGGTGCTATAAAATGACTGAAATGTCAGTTCTTATATACGGAAAATAAGATACAAAACTGAAGCTTTTCATTACTACTGTAGTCAACGGCTAATCATTCAGAAGTTCCCTGAAAATCCTGTCTCCTAACAGTTAAGCCCTTAGATTGTGCAATTTATTATCATTGAAGCTTTGTCTTTTTCTTCTTTCCTTCCCCCATCAGTCAGTATTGCCGTTTTTAAGAATAGATTTAAAAAAGCATATTCATCCCTTAGAGGTCTGAGGGAAAAAAGCAAGGCACTAAAATGAATTCATTTTCAGTATGTTTGCATTTTACGTATTGAATCCATTAGTTTGCAAATACACAATTACAGTCTGTTTGCTATAATATGTGTGTCTCTGAAGAAAATTATCTCATATATGACTGATTAAATAGGAGAATGATGTTCATGTGACATCAATTATGGAGGTTCTTAAGTAATTTTCCTCTGCATATTAATGTGTAACACTATCAGGAGAAAGCTTTCTCACAACTAAAGAAAAGTCCTTACCAATATATGAAGACCACAACTGAAAAAAGCTCAGTATCCACAGAACTGCCTTCCTTTAATGTAAATAGTTGCACTAAGAAATTGCTACACTTTCCACTATGTTAACTATCTGGCAAAGCAGTAAGTACAGATGGAAGAAGTGACAAAAACTTCCCCCATATATGAAAATAATGGATTCATGAAGAAGGCTATACTCTGGATCAGATTTCAAGTTTTGATGAAAACAGTCTTTATTAGAAGCAAATGCCCTCTAGGGTCTACATTTCAAAGATGGAGGCATGAGCCCACGGCATAAGTCTCTAAACACACTATGATGGTCAATACAAATACCTTTAAAGATTTAAATGTACTGATATTTATTTTTATTACAATTATTACACTAGTTTTTTTTGAGACAGAGTCTTGCTCTGTCACCAGGCCCCAGGCTGGAGTGCAGTGGCGCAACCTCAGCTCAGTGCAATCTCCGTCTCCTAGGTTCAAGCAATTCTCCTGCCTCAGCCTCCTGAGTAGCTGGGACTATAGGCACACGCCACCACACCCAGCTAATTTTTGTATTTTTTTTTTGAGACGGAGTTTCGCTCTTGTTACCCAGGCTGGAGTGCAATGGCGCGATCTCGGCTCACCGCAACCTCCGCCTCCTGGGTTCAGGCAATTCTCCTGCCTCAGCCTCCTGAGTAGCTGGGATTACAGGCACGCGCCATCATGCCCAGCTAATTTTTTGTATTTTTAATGGAGATGGGGTTTCACCATGTTGACCAGGATGGTCTCGATCTCTCAACCTTGTGATCCACCCGCCTCGGCCTCCCAAAGTGCTGGGATTACAGGCGTGAGCCACCGCGCCCGGCCTAATTTTTGTATTTTTTAGTAGAGACAGGGTTTCACCATGTCTCGATCTCTTGACCTCGTGATCCACCCACCTTGGCCTCCCAAAAGCTGGGATTACAGGCGTGAACCACTGAGCCCGGCCTATTATACTAGTTTCTATTAGTACCTGGTTATAAAGTTCACCGGATTCGGAATGGTCCTCAGTCTTTCTATTTATCTCATATTCCCCACTAGCTTTAGCAAAGAATTTTGCAGAATTTAAGGTTTTCAGGAACACGCGTATGGCATTACAACATGGCCTGTAATTTTACACAGTACTTCTATCAAAACAGTTTATAATGATACTCTGTGTAAAAACTGCCCAAACTTCTATTACGGCAGTAAAACAAAAAAGTTTAAAAAGATAATTTTAATATAATAAATGAATTTTGCCACCTAGTTAAGTAATGTATGTCTTGTTTTAAACATTTGCTTTTTATTTATTTTGTTGTGGTTTTTTGTTTTGTTGTTTTTGAGATAGAGTATCACTCTGTCGCCCACGTTGAAGTGCAGTGGTACGGCCACAGCTCACCGCAGCCTCAACCTCCCAGGCTCAAGCTACCCTTCCACCTCAGTACCGTAAGCAGCCGGGACCATAAGTGCCTGCCAATATGTCAGGCTGGGGTGTGTGGGTCTGTGTGTGTGTGTGTATGTGTCTGTGTTTGTTTTTCAGATGGAGTCTTGATCTGTCTCCTAGGGAGTGCAGTGGTGCAATCTTGGCTCACTGCAACCTCCGCCTCCCAAGTTCAAGCAATTCTCCTACCTCAGCCTCCCAAGTAGCTGGGATTACAGGCATGCGCCACCACACCCAGCTGGTTTTTGAATTTTTAGTAAAGACAGGGTTTCACCATGTTGGCCAGGCTGGTCCTCAACTCCTGACTTCAGATGACCTAACCACCTTGGCCTCCCACAGTGCTGGGATTACAGGCATGAGCCACAATGCCCAGCTGTCTAGCTGATTTTATGTAGAGATAGGGTCTCACTATGTTATCCAGGCTGACCTCAAACCCCTGGGCTCAAGCAATTCGCCTGCCTCAGCCTCCAAAAGTACTGGGATTTCAGGCATGAGCCACTGCACCTGGCCAACATCTTTTTTATTAACAGAGTGCTATGACACTTGAACTATCTTGGGAAAACTGAAGACTGAGACATTAAAGAAAAAGAACTACAATCTAGAAGGTAAGGCTTACCTTTGGTACTTTTGGGAATGATTTGACTCCATCGTGGCTTATATTCCTGTTGGCTGATATATTGATTGAACAAGCCATCTGTAAATATTGAAGAATGAGAAAGAATTACACCTTAACTACTAACATTATTATAGAAAAAAATTAGAATTTAAAAGACTACATTCAGAGAAATTACTAATATGTCACTAATACAAAAGCACAATTTCATAAAATACGCATAATTTCAGTTTTACTGTATGCTACCCCAAATATAAAGAGTAAAATATTGATTGACACAAGCATGTAAACAAACTGCTTTAGGGGAAGCTTACATTAAATGTACTATGTTTCCCATCATTATTGCATTGCACCTATTAGATACAAAGGCATTGCTGCATTCAATGGACAAGCACGTGACATTTCCAGAGGGTTAGAAACCTTAAAAGAAGGAGAAGGGAGTCAACTGGGAGGGGAGAAAAGGTTTTAAGACAATTTAAGGCTGTAAAATAGGTGCAGGAGAAAATAAAAATAAATAATTTGAATAAACGTTCTACTTCATTGAAAAAAGGTTTTGTGTATCTTTAAAAAATCATTTCTAGTATTACTGTAAGCGGGAAGAGAAAACGATAAAGATTAGGATAATTATACTTTAATTTCTTTTTGTGATCTCCCACCGCTTGTCTTTATTTCAACTATGAAATTCTTAATCTTTACATCCTGAATGACATGGCTTCACTGCATCCGAATCTCTTTCCCGCAACAGTGCTTTGTGCCAGTACTTTTTGTCACTCATATCCAAGAAAAATAAAGAAAACAGAGCTCCAACAGTTTTGGTCTAGGCCCTTATGACATATTTTCAGGAAAAAGGAACATTAACATGTGAATTCCATTATTATACAGTTTTGAATACAAAACTACATAGAGATAAAAGGACTAATAGCAGAAATAGAACTATACTTATGGAACACTTACCAAATGTTAGAATTTATACTGTCTCATCTCATTTAATTCTAAAAACAATCCTATGAACTACACATTATCATCTGCATTTTATAAATACAGAAATGTATATTTAGAAAAATTAAGAAACTTAACCAAAATCATACAGCTCTTAAATGGTAGGGCTGGGACTACAGTTCTATCATTCCTTCCCTACTCCTGATTGTGCTTTATCAATAAACTCTTAATCTACTTCGAAAGTTGTTACACTAGTTACTATAATGGTATGGAGACTGAACTCCCTATATACATCCCTACATATATACATAAATAATTATGAAGCCCTAGTCACATGGCCCTCAAAAAAGATTAGTTTAAGAACAGTATGGAACCCAATTTTGGCTAATGAAACATAAGGAATCTTCTGGGAGACTTCTAGGCAATTCCTCCTTACTTCTAAAGAGACATTCAGAGAAGAAAAATCTACTTTTATTCCTCTGGAATATCTGCATGCAGTGTATACAAATGTTAAAGCCAATTTGTCAAAGTACAAGAATGAAATCAATTCTATAATGATGACACAGCAGAGAGAAAGAATGATCGCTGAGTCAATCAACCATGAAATCCACCTTACCTCCGGACTTCTTGCTACAATAACATTTCCTTACTTTTTAAGCTACAAACCCTAGCTTTTTACAAACACCCAAATAGATCATAATTTATAAAGCTGCTTTTACTATAAATTCTGTCATGTGACACAATTTAAAAGTTAAACTGTTTTCTGTGATTTATATATTCACAAGAGGCCAAGCAGTTTGGAGCACTCTCCCTAATCTTTCTTTTCTGGGTAATTATGAAGCTGCAGTTGTAACCAACCCTTTCAGCTTTCAAGACTTGCCAGCTGGCTTCAACTGGAAACCTCTATCCTACAGACACACACATCACATTTCTTTTTTACTTTGTCTCTGAGACTTCCCAAAATTCTTGCAAAAAATAAGTCAATAAATACTGTAAACATTAAAGCAAAGTAAAGGTTAAAAAAAATATTGCTTTTAGTACCTTGTTTTAATGTAAAAGAACTTCCTACAACTTTCACAATCTAAAAACAAAAAGTTGACACCTCTGCACCCCAAATAATCTCACCATGTTCCCTATTACTTCTAATTCTTGAAAACTCTTGCTAAGAAGGCCTTCTGCCTTGGTAGGCTTACTTTAGATATATAATTCAGCAAAAAACTCAGTCTCTCTATTGAAACAATAATGACATTCTCACCTATAAAAATGTAACAACATCCATTACAGTGTTTGAAAATTTCAGAAACAAATTATTAAGAAATTTAAAGATGCCTGTGAACCATGTGAGTTCAAAAAGTTCTTTCTGTTTAAAGAAGTCAGGCAGTGCTCATATTTCTGTAAGTCTATTTTTGACAAAAATCTAAAGCAAGAGATCAGAACAGTTAGATAAAATTAAAACTATCCAAAAGAAGTTTAAATATCACTAGGAGAAAGCACATTAAGAAGTAGTTGTTAATAATTTTTAAGCTATTTAACTAGAATCTCCAGGTCCAATATCACTTCATTTTTTTCCCTATAATTATAACTCTACTAAATACATTTCATACAGTCCTAACTGAGCACAAGCTGTTCTTTTCTCCACTAACAGTGGATACTCTCTTAAAAAAACACATGATGGCCCAGCCCGATGGCTGACAACTATAATTCCAGCATTTGGGAGGCTAAGGCAGGAGGATCATTCAAGGCCAGGTGTTCAAAACCAACCCAGGCAACACAGAGACCCTGCCTACACACACATGCATGCACACACACAACATGATTTAAAAATGAGACTTAGAATGTTTTTAACAAAAGGGGGGAAAAAAGTTCACATCTTTTGCCCAGAATTAAAAGCAAAACAAACAAAAAATATCCACATAGATTACAATACGGCTGCCTGGTTATAGGTATTTATATTTGATAAACTCAAACTATTATCAAATTTGATATTTCACCAAAATAGAGATTACATACAAAAGAAATAACTTAAAATGCATTTATAGGTAAGTAACTTATAGAGCACAATCCTTTTTGACCATTCAAGAATAATGATTAGGTCAAAAAGAATTTTTAAGAAACTAATTTCATCAGTTTGTTTAAATTCTGAAAAAAAGAACAGTATTATACCAGTAATAATATAATAATTAATATTAGGACATTGAACCAATAAATATTTACTAAGACAGTAAAGCTCAGAGGTATGTATTCTGGCACCAGACTACCTGAATTCAAATCTTCGCCGTTACTTCCTAAACACATAGTCTTAAGCAAATTAATCATTCTGATATATCAAATAGAGATAACAATAATACTTACCCTAGAAGATAAGTATAAAAATTAAATAAATTCATGTAGTCAAAGGCCCAGGAGAATAAATGGCACATTGTCAAGCTCTCAGATATACGTTACTGATGATGATGATGATGATGATGATAATGATGTAGTGTTTGCAAATGTACTTGACAGAAAATTAACAATCTTTTACATACAAAATGAAGAAATATAGCACCAAGGCAAATAGGAGTTCAGAAGAGGAAGGAGTGATTCTGTGAGAATATAACAAAAGATACTTTGGAAGAGCTGGCTTTGAAGAATGCATTGGAACTGAATTATATGAAAAGGAAGTAATAGGAAAGAGAATACAGCATAAACTAAAGGCACGAAGGCATAAATGAGCCAAAATTATGAAAACTAAACAATGTTTCAGAAAGAGGCAGTTGGGAAAGGGGAAAAAAAGAATGAGATTTTGTATTATAAGCACTGCTGAGAAGAAACAGAATCTTAAAAGGGAAAAAAGATGTAAGGAAAACTCTTGCTATCCTGGAACACAGCTCTAGCTTCTAACTCACAAAAAGCTTCTAAAATTAGAAAAAATGCACCACATTCAAAGATTAATAATGTTAAAAAGAATCAACCCATGAATTATACCGTGATATAAAAAAGAAAAGAAATAAAATTTTTAAAGTAGCAAATGAATCTGATTCAACAGAAAGATGTAGCCATATAGATGAAAGTAGCCAAATACCTTTCCACAAATTAAAAAAAGCAAGCAACTCTCTCTATAAAACATGAGCACAGATTACAGATACAAGTGGCTGGAAAGTAGAGATCTAAATAGTTGGAAAAGAAATGGTAAGACAGCAAAAGAATACAGAAACTGAATTGTCAGAGATAAATATAGGAATAAAAAAATTGAAAATATCAGAGAACTGAAGGTCAGAGTATAAGAAAGAGACATTAAAAACAATACAGTAGTGGAAATGAGCTAGTTTAGAGAAGCTTAAAATATTAAACAGAAATATGCAGTTAAAAAAGATAAAGGAGAAAATAAAAAAAAATTATAGACAGACAAAGGCAACATATAACTTAACTGAAAGAAAACCAAAATAGACAAGAGTTAACAGGGCTGCCACACTGGAGTTTCAGACAGCCTTCTTAATGTAACTACAAAATAATCTAAAACAAATATAAAATATTTAAACAGCCAGAAGGAAAAAGATTATATTTAAAAAAACAGCAGTTGAAAATGACAGCACATCTCTCAATAGCAACAATGGAAACTGGTTAATAATAGTGGAATGATACTCAAAATGTATTTCAAGAATATAAGTGCCAATCTGGAATTCTATATCTAGCAAAAATATCCTCCAAGAAAGGAGACAAAATTTTCAGGCCAGCAATTCTGACAGAGATGAACTGCATTATAGAAGAAAGTCTAATGGATAGGCTTATGGCACAGGGAATGAACATAATCCTAGATACAAGATTAAAGATGCAAACAATAATAAAGAGAAAAAAATCAGTAAATAGTTGGGTAAAATTAATGAACAATTGCTATATAAAATAAGACTGATATTTTATAGGGTCTTTCAACATGGTATCAAAATAAATGACAACAATAAAGCAATTGACAACAGCAGAACAACAAATTAAAGGTGAGACTATCAAGCTGAAAGTCTACTAAATCCACACTTGGGAAGAGAGAAAAGGCACAGATCAATTTCGTTAAGGCAATCATAAATACCTGTTGTAATTTCTAAACTCACTACAAGTCAAATGATTTATTAATAAAATAAAAATTTCTTCAAATAAGTTTGTTTTATTTA